TGTTGTGACCATAACTGATTGAGTATTACTACCTCCGTCCGGAATTAATTGTCCTCTATTTCAAAGATCAATTCAGTTACCTGAACGGCTTTCAAAGTACCGATAAAGGTCATAATCGAAAAAATTTGATCCCAAAACCTTGACTATCAATTTTTGTGACAAAATACCCTTCCACACTACTTCTGGGGCCCTTGAAATTGCCTAAGATTTGGCTGAAAATTGTGCATTCTGATTCAGCGTCCGTTGGAGATCCACGCAGTTCTGGGTGGCTCCCGTCCTAGGCATGCCAAAGCAAGGTGGTTATTGCCATCGTGGCAAAGGGCAGTGTCCCTCACGTTGTGCAGCGCTTGTTAAACACGCTCAATTGTGTCTGATACCCATCGAAGAATCCCATCGTCACGGCGTCGACGATGGCAGAAATCGCTGCCTTCTTGATCTCCAATGCGAAGACTTTCCACAAGTGGAAAAGGCCAACGCCCAAGGCGCTCAAGCTTGGGCTCTGTGTGGGCTATCACTCTAAGGCTATGCTGTAATTGTACTCTGACATTGCACTTCGATTGATCTTTGAATCGAGGCTATCGTGCATGGCTGGGCCCACACTCCAGAAATTGCCACTAGCGGCCAACTCGTACGTGTGGTCCACAACCCTTCGCAATCTAACTAGTATGTACTTATGAGAGAGACACAAACTTGTCTTTTTAACCGTTCACTTTGCGTTCTACCCTTTCAATTGTCGATGCAAGAGTCGACCTCTCCATCCCGCCTTGGAAGCCATTCCCCTAATTGTCCGCCGCTGATTGGGATGATGACCATCACATTCCTTCGCACCTCTTTGAGGGGCTTGGGAGGCCTTGCATGGTACCTCTCACAGTAGTCATAAATCTGGGCCGGGAATGCATCCCCGGATTGGCCAACCGATCTCAAATTAGGATAGGGACAGCGACTTCCACGATCAAATCTGCCAAGACACGTTTTCTACCACTTTGCTTCTTCACAAGGACCTCTCCAAGCTTCTGCCAAAACAGCATGAATAATTTTGAAGGGGCGGTCTTGTTTGGCTGCCGCAAAGGTGTGCTCCTCGCCATTGTGAAAACAGCCGTTTGGGTGACTTTGTTGAAGAACGGGTGGGTTTTTGGCAGGAGGACCCTTACTACAATGCATTACCAAATCTTCAATACTTAGCAGATTGACTTGAAATTTTGACCATATACTCTAAAAATATAGGCATAATTTTGGAAGAAATTTCATTGAGAAAAGAACCGTTCATGATGGAGAACCAGGGCGCTAAAATCGTAGTGGACAATTAATTCCGGATGGAGGAAGTATTATTAACGGCTGGACGCATGAAGAGGAGGTGAGGAATTAGAAATTGCATTAACGACATCGATGAACGGAAAGGATAAATGGGACTGAGTTCCTGTTGTCCCTTTGCTCGGCTGCAAACCGTTGCCGTGGACTCGAGCCTAGGATCCCCATTGAGGGGTCGCCACCACTAAACCGTGCCTGCCCTTCGTCACAGTCGTCAACAGGCACGCATTTCCATTTTTTTCGGTGCCATTCCGAATGATGCAAATGCATCAATTGGCGTTTGTTTTCGGCGGTGACTGCCGGTTCATGTGTAATTCCAATAAATACATGCACGTCACAACAGTGCCAAAACCTGTTCATCCAAGGCTGCAGGTTCATGTGAGCACACACGTGGAACAACACAGAACGTTGGCCCTTTCATTTTTAAGGCGGACACCGACATGTGCAGAGCAAGGCCGATGGCGTCCCTGTGTTTCGTGGCCTCCTCTTTGCACTGCCCCTTTAGCACATTGCCAGATTGAGTAAGGCAGTTCATCCAGCGGAGCGGACAGTCCTTGCTGGCTTTGTCAGACTGCCAACTTTACCTCAGATTCAACCGTGAGGGAACGATCAGGACCCTTCAGAAGACATTCAACGACTGACCACGTCCCGAGCGGGGGCCAGTCATGGCCAGCAATGTTTACTGCAGATATTGGAAAGGAAAGAAGGACACATCAGTTTGCAGCTCTGAAAAGTCACTCCCACGGATGCGCGTGTTCCAAGTTGCAGCAATGGGGGAGCGAGAAGGTGCAGACATGGGACCAACTCCATATGCTGCCATGCTTGATGAAACCGTGGAGATGAGAAAATCGCTATGGCAGTCCTGCTGTGGATTGCAACACAGTACAAGTCTGATCGGCTTATGTGCAGGTTGATCCACAATACAGGATGAACCGACTCTGGTGAAACATGGTCTCTCACAATCCTTGTACAAGAGAGCATATGCAACACGCTGGGAATTAGGATGAGCAGATCAACACTGTTGTCAAAGGCGGCCTGCGCAACAAGAAACCAAAGAAAAAAAAATTATTAATGCCTCTGTCCATGGGGCAGTGTAGGCCCTAAGCCCTGTTTTGCACATTGACGACATACTATTCTGAATCAAAGTCAATCGAACCTTGCAGTGAAGGTTGCATGGCCCTCATCATCTTTTGTGATGAATACGACATCGACCCTCTTCTTGTGTTGCCTGCCTCCGCATGTCTTCTGATTCCAGTACAGGAACATGCAGCCAACGCATCTACTCGTGAGCCTCGCGCATCTGGTTGTGTGACCCAGAAATGCAAGCTCCTCGCCACTCCACCAGTGTCTCTCCAACCCCGACACACACATACATCGGGACTGCTTTTTACTGAGGTGAGTGTGCAGCGGGTTGCCCGCTTTCAATTTCCCTCTCAAAGGCAAGATTGGATTCGTTGAGTCATCAGTTGTGGCAGACCAACAATTCTGGGAATTCAGCGCAGCCCACAGGTATTGTTAAACAAGTCTGGGACACCCCATATGTGTCCAACTGCATCAAAGCGCCGAAACATGGTGCAATTCACTTGACGAAATGGCCGGTTACTTCGATGGTTCACAGCTGAGAGACACCTGATCAGGGGCTTCTGCGCCATCAGGCCAACTTGGAGACAGATGTTCTGCGATAGATCCACCGATGCGCCGCGATGACCGTCAAACTTAAAATTTCGCCACCGCACATGACTAGAGCGCTTCCTCCAGGAGCGCGTTCCCAGATAGGCTGCTCCGTGATCACAGTGTCCAACCAAAGGTAAGAACCAACGCCCCAGCCGACACGCGCGCTCAAAGCATCTAGATGTGAAAGATTGGCCCCGATGTTACCGATCGCAAGATTGCCGCACACACCAAGTCTGCAACGGCATCAAGCGTCAACCTTCAAAGCGAAATCCAGCAACATGCTCACGATGGGCTTCTTTTTTGCGGGAAGGCCGTCCATGATCTCCTGGACGGTCTTGTCACTGTCGGCCTTCAAGCTGCTGAACGTCTCGTCCGACGTGTTGCTCCCCTCCGCCATCTTCTTCGCGAATTCGTCCTGCCTCTCCCGGCGGTACTCAGCGATCTCTTGCTCGGCCTCCTCCTTGGCCTGCTTCAATTTCTGAGTCCTGGCCGCTCTGGCGCGATCCACGATCTCTTGGGCGCGTTTCTCAGCATTCAGGAGTTTCTGAATGTTGGGGTCGCTGGTGGGAGGCTCCATCCGTCAGTTTGGTGCGCGGCTTTTGAACCCAGGGTAGCGGCCACGCAAAAGCCTGGACCAGGGGTGTGTGCCCTGGCGTCCAACAGGCACTCCTGGAGGTCCTCTGGGGGTCGGCGCAGGGCTGAAGCAATGGACTCACCCGATCTACAATAACATCGATCCATCGTGATGGGTGCATACGATTGCGACCAATCCATTGTTTTCAACGCAAAGAGGGCCGTTCGCGTGAGCCGCCCATTTTGCGGACGATGATGGAGCAGCAACACGTCTTCGTCGACCATAGGCAGCGATTCGGTGCTTAAGAAACCAACACCCTGCCCTGCGTCGACATGGATCGTGTACCACCACGATCTCTCGGCGCGCATGCCTTTGGATATTTTTGTATATCCACTCAGCACCATTGCGGCACAGTCGCTTGGCAGCGCACCGCTTTGCGCAGCTGTGCGCTCCTTTTGGTGCGTTCTAGCGTGCCTGCGGCCGTGATTCACGGCATCATACGCCTCTTACCACAGGTCTCGCAGAGCTCTTTTCAGCGCGTTTTGGCGACGATGCGCTTTTCAGCGAGCAGCACGGCCTGTTCGGCTAGCTGCACAGCCGCCGCTTTGGTTCCACCAGAGCGAGCGGCGAGAAAAAACCTAGACGCAGGGGGATGCGTGCGGCATGCCGCGAGGCGCCATGCCAGAGTTGAGACACACGAACCAGACCGGGAAGCTGGGCCCTGAGGCCCTTGCAAGGCAGTGACACAAGCACAGCTGCTGGCGTCCAACCAGAACGTCTGCCGCCCAACCAGTTTCCCCACGACGCGGCCGATCGCTTCACACGGCACCCATCGACAACCAGCACCGCACCACCAAACCCCAAGCACGAACGAACGGTAGAATGACGACCCCACAGCCACACACAGCTCTTTTATAGGACGGGGAGGCCTCTTGAACCCCAAAAAAGTCACATGCGGCCCCTTCAAAAGGAGCAGCACGCTTCTGGTCTCACACACGGCGCAGCCACAAACGGATTCTCTATGCACACTCAGATTGCGTGCACAAAGCATGACACTAATATACAAGACTCCTGTCAGCTCATGGGCTGAACCCTCCCCATACATTGCTGCATTTCAGTACATCGTGACCACGACTAAAACCAACCAAATGTCCATGATTTCCTCAGTGTATCTGTGAGCTTCAAATGACGCCTTGACTTCATGATTTCTACTTGTTTTCTTAACAAACAACCCAGCCCATCACAGGGAAAAAGTCAAATAATCGTTGTCTTCCTGTCATGTTCGTACAAAATTCCTACAGAGTCCCACAGCTCCTGACACAACTCGTAAGCATTTGTATTGCAATCCACGGCCTAGGCTGATGTTGTTTAGTCCCAAAGGACCACCCGCATCAAATCATGTAATGTTCAGTGACATACCCTCTTCTAACTCATAAATTCCTCTCTGTTTCACAATGATACTTCAGCTCACCTATCGTCCCAATCACTTGCCATTACAGAATCCTTCAAATTGTCCCCTTGCCACCACGATTCAGCCCGTGGATGTCACATTCATTGGTCAAGTGATGGTCACAAAGTATTGCATGAATTGACACCATAATTTATGGCACTTCCCAGTGCCCTCGTTCAACACCTGTCCCAATGTACTCTATTCTTCTTCCTGCCCACACAGAAAGTATAGATTGTTGTGCAAAAATAAATGACATGGGGACCTACGGCGCACTATTGTGGCTGAGCAAAATGTATGAAAAAGAATGAGTTCAACGGTTTCTAATAGTGCCCATGCTTCTCGGGGCATGGCCGCCTGTTTGACGATGCCTTGTGACACTGCTTCCACACTTCCACACGTCTTCTAAAATGGAATTTTCATCGTTTTCTTCTTCAACGCTTTAGCATGGACAGGTCCCAAGACACTCCTGTCTAAGCATAGCACAGGAGTCCATTGTCTGCATGCATCCCCGGCGTGTTGCCCTAAAAATAGACCAACGCTCCCAATTCCTTTCCTTCTTACCCTCCAAGACCATCCTTTTTTCTTGCTTTTTCTTTCAATCCTGCATTTTCCTAGTTCAACAAGGGCATGCATGCCTGACACGCATGGTAAACCACACCAAGCCAATTGTATCCCTTTCCAGTGGTGTCCTGAGGTCATGTCCCATATAGGGCTTTATGGCAGTTATGGGACAACATTTTTCACATGCTATACGGGTCGATTGCGTGCCAGCTTCCCTCAGACCGCTGTCATGACTCCCTCGCCCACGAGAAGAGTACAACGTGTATGCCAGGGCATCTTGCATCCCCCTAGCTTCCATGCATGCATGTGCATTCCTGTGGGAGTATCAGGACGTAATCATGCATGTCATGAGGATTCATTAAATGTACGTACACACTTTTTTTGCGCGCCAGACAGTGGCAACCGTTTCATTTGCATGGCCCCTGCGCCGTGCGTACATTTCAGGTAACATTTTTATTGAACGTAACCTTGCGGTCACATGAAAACCCCTTTGCGTGCAAACCAACAGACCACGCGCCCTCCCTCATCAGTTTGGGCGGTCTAAATGGTCCCCAAGGACCAGAGCATCATTGACACGCAAAGTGAGCTCGACTTGCCCACACAGCCTGCAGCCTTATGGTGCAGGACCTGCCATTATCGTCTTTGGCCTGATCAGTCTGGGGAGCTCTTTAGTGCCAGGAGTCTGTTGAGCGCACAGAGCGACTTCCCCTAGTCGGCTCCTGCCTCCTTTACCTTCCCCGGTGAAACTCACTCCCAGGGCATTGCAACCGCAACATTTTCAGGAGTGTTCTCACTTTTCGTTTTCTTTTCTCATCGGCAATGGTGGCTTACTCGAGCCACCCCATGCAATGTGTATCGCGCATAAGGTCGACACCCGTCATGAGCCAATCACATAAGTGAGTCACCCAGTGTAACGGCGCTCATTATGTGGCTTCATCGAGCAGGACCAAGTTGGCTGGCACCGTTTCCGTGCTGAAGAGATTTGAGAACATAATGTAAGAATACATCGTTCCAGTCATTCCCCAGAACCACATGCTCCTCAAGCCCTTCACTGGTCCGATTGTTGCTTTGCGCTGGTGTGCTGGCAGTAAGCATGGCACCCCAGCCAGCGAAAAGGCGCCCACAGGTACAGGGCACTGGCAGATTCCGCATTGCTCCCATCCGTCGTCACCATGATCGTGGGAGGGCAGGATTGCGCCCTTCAGTGACAACCCTGCATACCGACTGAACATCATGCACAGGCATGGCCTGTGTTGCTGGGTGGCGATCAATGTGATTGACTACCACGATTTGATCGAATGGTGCATTGAATCAGTTTGTAACTTGCGCCCGCCATTGATCCCGCCATGCAGAAAGGACTGAGGCCATTGCCCTAGTGCTGTCAGCAACTATTGTCAGGCTTCCAGCCTGAACACTGCACTTCCCCGTGTCATCCATGTGATGTGAGACATCCAACTGGTCTACCAGCATTGCATGGCGTCCTTGCAAGGAACGGAATGCCACATATCATACGTGCGCAATGCAAGCACTTCAACTGACCTACCCCTGACTGCACAGCAGCAGCGCCCATCAGCCCACTGCAACCAAGGCACATATTCTCTTCTGCGTTCTCCACCAGGTGTGTGACATATCTGCTTGTGTTGACCACACATTTGTGTGCGCAATGTGGTCAGGAAGACTACCACTCCCTCTATCCTCTCCTCCCTCCTCTTCGAAACTCGTATCATTCCTTTATTGTTGATGACACTTGATGCTGCACATCTGGAGGTATCTGACCAATGGCATCATATGCAGCTTTGTGCTTCACAGGGATGGCCCGCACAGGGCTTGGGAGAAGCCTTCCCTTTGGCACAAATGCTTCAGGCTGCAGCACAAGCGCGAAAACGACTCACTGCACAGACAACCCCACCCGCTCATGAGCAGTTCTTTTCCAAGAGAACACGTGGGAAATGCTGAAATTAATGTCATCGAGGAAATCGCACTGCACGTGTTCCACACGTGTGTGGACACAGGATGCCTTCAGCTCCTAATCTTCTGACAAATGACAATGGGTGAAGGCATTGATTAGAGTCAGCTGATATTGCGATATGCACCAATTCATGATCTCTTTGCACAGCAAGACATGCTCTCCAAATCGAACACAAAAGACATTGCTTGCGTTCAGGTGATGGAGATAACACTACACATGTCAGTGCTGAGTGGAGCACGGTTTTCTGAGGAGAACACACTGAAAATCACGAAAGCTCTGCTGAGCAAATATGTGCAATACCTTCAGGAGGGCCCTGAGGCCCAGTTTGTTGTAGTACACTGACGTCACTGTCCCACCAGCCTTTTCCACCGCCTCTCGAGCAGAGCGCGAGCACTTGCTCACCTTAGAACATGCAGGCATGGAATAGTCGCAAAAAATGAGCCAGAATAATGTCATGACACAATCAAAGTGCAGAGAGCGGTGCACAGTCCCATGCTTGACATTCAATTCCATGCAGAGCAGCAATGGTTGCTCCTCACACAAGTGCAGGTCTGAGAACACCACTGCCAACACTGAGCAGGTGCGCAAATGGAACTCCGCAGCCTGATGCTCCATACCTGTATATGAATAGGAATGTCGAATTCTTCTGTCCCCTGCAGGGAAGGGGAACACAGGATCAGTTTCATGTTGTGCACATTCACTCAGCCTCGCAGCAGACATGCTAGGAAATGACACACACTAAGAGTAGTGTGACCATGATGACCGCCTGGGCCGTGTTAGTCGCCACAATGGCTTCAAGTGCTTCATCTTAGTAACCCCAGCCAGTGCTAAAGTGTACTTA